CGCGAAGTTCCGGATCGGTTAACGCGTTGATGGCCGATGTATCTGTGTCCCTCTGGATTGACGAAGGGGATCGTGCGATCGAGGTATGACATGTGAGCTCTGAGTTCGCAATCGTTTTTGGTGCCTTGCTCACCAGTGTCATAGCCTGATCTCGTGGAAACGTCTGGATCACTTTCCGAATTGTCTCGTCTTCACTGAGTCTGGAGTCGAGTTTTCTGCACAGCTTGAGGACGGACTCGAGATGTCCGGTAAATGATGTGCCTCTCTCGTAGATTAATCTCTTCAGTTTCTCACGTGCTTCTTCGCTGATTTTTGTTGTATCCACGAAGCGGTCACGGAATTTCGTTTCGAACGTTTCCCACTGGTCGACCTGATCATCTTCATTGTCGAACCAATCGAGGGCTTCTCCAACAAGCCAGAAGGGAGCGTTCGCGAGCATTTGGGTTTTGGTGTGCCCGTTGAAGCTTGCCACGCGTTTGAACTCGCGCAGCCAATCGATAGGGTCTGACCTACCATTGAATTTCGGAGGTTCCTTCTGTGTTTGCACGACTAGCGATTGCATGCGTTGAGAGATTATTGTTGGAGTAGGATCCACCGACGCGCGACGGCGCGAGTTCGGGCGGTGAGCATGATACCTCTTGGTCGACGTTGATTGCTGCCGCCGTCTTCTCTTGGCTTCCTTGCTTGGGTCGCTCGGAGAACGTTACTTCGTTGGTCTCTTCACCAGGATTCGTTGCTTGATCTTGATTCTGATGATTATCGGGATTCACATTCACGAGTTGGACGAGCGTTTCATCAACTTGTTGGCCGGTGGTTCTCTTCGCAGCGCTAGTTGCGCGTGTGCACGGAGGCGAATGTCGTACCGGCGGCGCCATGACTTGCTCGTTTCGCTTATTCACTACACTGCGTTGGGATGTTGATGTAGAGCATGGTTGGGGAACGATCCACAAATCTCCACCAAGATTAGAGAACGCCGCAGATCAATTACACGTGGGCCACAAGAAGTTTCCGTCCCTTTATTCCACACTCGATGCCTTACCGGCAGTACGAGCGTCTCGAACAGAACTGGCTGCGAGAGCCCGACGTTACAAGTTTCTCTGTTCTTCCTCTCTCCGTTCATCTCTCGAAGCGCGCTATTCAAGCGTATCGATTGATTCTCTGGGTCGCTTCCTTGTTCATTAGTACAATAGTTATTCCCACATTGCATTCTCACAATATTATGTATTACTAGCGCTCCCGGTCGCCGCTTCGCGGCGACTCGGTATCGCTAGACTCACTACACATGCGCTGGCTCCGAGTGCGCTGGCTCCGAGTGCGCTAACGCCGAGTGCGCTGGCTCCGAGTGCGCTGGCTCCGGGTGCGCTGGCTCCGGGTGCGCTCGCTTTGATCGCGCGTGCTCTGGGTGCGCCTCCCTGCTCCCCACTTCCCCGTTTCCCCACTTCCCCGTTTCCCCACTTCCCCGTTCCCCCACTTCGCCGCTTCCCTACTTCCCGTCTCCCCGCTTTCCCGTTTCCCCGCTTTCCCGTTTCCCCGCTTTCCCGTTTCCCCGCTTTCCCGCTTTCCCGTTTCCCCGCTTTCCCGTTTCCCCGCTTTCCCGGTTCCCCGCTATCCCAGTTCCCCACTTTCCCGTTTCCCCGCCTCCCCGTGCCCCTGCTTTTATTAGATATGTCCTCCGGAAAATCGATACCCTTCACGGCTACAGCGATTTTCAGCGAGATTCATTAGTAAAAAGCACAGAGGCCATTGATGACGGCAACCCCCGATAGTCTTCTTGGGAGCTCCCGAGAATCCGCCTTCTCATGGCGATCGGTCCAGCCGATAAGAAATCCTGAGAATTCCCGTCTTTCCCTTGATAAAATCTTTGATTCTCGGCAAGAGGACCACTCAAATAATTTTTTTATGGTAGAAGGACTCATCGCATCGGGGAACTGACCCCCCTATAATCACCGCTGGATCCCCCAGAACACGCTCCTAAATTTTTACGACGATCGGTTCAGCTGTTTTCGAGTCTATAGGGGACATACAGACAGATTTATAGATTATGTGAAGGAATCACGAAAATTCTGGAGAACTCTGGAAACTCCCGCCGAACGATTTCCGGTGAGGGACCCGGTACTCAATTTCCAAGGGAAAAAGAGCTCATCCTCATCATACGGGCACGACGACCCCCTCATCGCTTTTCTACAACTCCCGAGAACCCACCCCTGAATTTTCACGGCGATCGGTTCAGGCGTTCGTGAATTTTGCGAATTTCGGATTTTTCAATTTTTCTCCG